AACAGATTTGGGCCCAACTGCGATGCGTAAGCTTGGTGTACCATCCGGGTACGCGCAGCGTACTGGAAATCTTGGGACTACGCGCAGCGTACACTGGGTTACGCCCAACGTACTACCGGGTTAAGAACTTTCTCCATTAAGTGCTTAATACTCGATTCCTTTACGTCCAAAAGCCAGATCTAAGTTTGTTCAGACGTCCTAAGGCATAAAGTTGGCAACTTTATGCGTTTGCATGCCTCATATACACCCAACACCTCCATTAAGACCTTTCCAAGGTCTTTAACCCATGCATGATGCCAAAAATCCCATCAAGACTCCATTTTTATGATGCTAAAGGACCAAGGGACCTCAGATCTGTCATTCCCACCTTCTGGAGTTGCTTAACTCACAAGTGGAGGTCCAAAATCGACCAAAGGGACAAAACTAGAAAATCCTAGCTAGATCTAGAGATTTAAGTGGAAAGGTGCAAGCTTTTTACCTCCACAAGCTTTGCAAGATGACCAAGATGCAGATTCTTGAAGCACCAAACCATCCCAAGCTTGCTTGACGACTTCCTCTTCTTGAAAGAACTCTAAAATGGCCACAAAAACCCACTCCTTAAGCTCAAAACCCTCTCACACAATATCTCAGCTGAAGGTAAACGGAATGTGTGACAACCCGAAATTTCTATCTTGTACAGTTATTCAAATCAATCAAGGTCAGACTCGTTTTTGCTATCTTCTAGCATTGTTTAGAGTCAATTAGAGTGTTTTAAGCCTAGTACCTTCAAAGTTAGGGTTTAGAATTGGGTTCCACAAGTTCACCACTTCCCAAAATGGCCAAACACTCCAACATGAGGAGTGTACGGCCGTACACTTGGGTGTGCGGCCGTACACACCCCCTTCTGGCCGTACACTCTCATGTATAAATGAGAGACTTAGCCTTCATTCAACTCTTTTCACACTTCTAAGCCAAGAACTCGTTTCTCTCTCAACTACTATCCGATTTTTCATCTAGATCTTCAAGATTGTAAGTGTTTCTTCCCTTGAATTGTTGATTCCTTTCACTATCTTGTAAGGATCATTGATTTCATCCATGAAATCACTTCATTTTGGTAGATCTTCAAGTGTTCTTCAGTTTCACTAAGAACACCAAGAACACCTACTAAGCTCTTGGACCTCAAACACCCCTAAAGGCTTCTATATCGTAAGTACTCCTTCCTATGCTTGTTACTTACTAGATATGCTCCTTAGAAATCGTCCAAACCATGATCATCAAGGAGTGTACGGCCGTACACACCTCATGTGGCCGTACACCCCTTTGTTTAGGGCATATTGGCCTCAAACTCATATTCTATGCTAGCACAAAGTCATGGACACCTAGGGGATGCAAGATAGAACCTTGGAATACACTTTTTGACCATTTCTTCAAGGAGTGTACGGCCGTACACTCCATGGCCGTACACACCAGGCCGTACACCCAAGTGGTTGTACACCTGGTGGTCGTACACACACTTGTGTGGCCGTACACCCATTATATGCAACCCTTTGTACTTCTAACACTTCAATCTAAGTGTTTACTAAGTCCTAGGGTGTTTTCCTTACATGATTAGTTGTATAAACACTAATTATATACATATATGTGTCATTATATGTTTATTAGGATCCGTTGTGCTCAAGTCTTCACTTGACACTTAACATCCTACAAACCGATCTTTCATTCGTATCACTGCAGGTGAGTTCATACCCCTTAACTTATCTTTTAAATGATTTTAAATGCTTTTAATGGGGGAGAATACAAGTAGAAACATTATAGTTATTATATCAATCACATGTGATTAATAACTATCAAACAGATAGATTTCTTATACTTTAAACTGTGTTTTCAAAAAAATTGTTTAAATCGTTTTACAAACTCTTTTATATGCAAAACCCCTTTATCAAACTCTTTTAAACTTATACTTTGTCAAATCATGTCTATATGGATATAGTTATATAAGTAGGATTAAAAGGACTTATGACTGATAACTCGTTTTATTTCCTGTTCCTTGTTTGGTTGTGGACTTAGGGTATCGGTTGTTTGTCCGAAGGTCGTTTGAATCTTAGTTATATATTATGTATATGCATATAGATATAATAGTTCTTCGTTCAGTTCAATACCTTTGGGTAGCAAAGGTGTACAAACATTTTCATTCATACAAATAACATTGCTAGTAAACTATAATAGGTATAGTTTAGGAAGTCACTACTTACTATTTCTAGCACAATGAAACATACAAAGAGTCAGTTCATACATGAGTCAGTACAAACATACTATAACGAGAGACAACACTCACTATAAAGAGAAACAATACATACTACACACTATACACTAGAGAACATACTATATACTAGACAGAGAGAACATACTATACAGTAGACAGAGAGAACATACTATACAAATACAAGAATATTATAACATTAATGTGAGATACTACTTCATGGCTCGGAAAAATACTGCTGCATCACATTTTGTACCCAGAGTCTCCTGGAGGGAGAGCGTGAATTTGTGTACAGATCTATACGGGACTGACCATCCTACACCTTGCTGCTAGCTACAGTGGGACCTACAGGTCTACGGGTGACGA